CCCTCATCAACCAAGCCCCTATGGTTACATGCACTCAAAACACCAACAAAAGTGATTGAATTGGGGATAACTTTCTCTACCTTCACCATTCGGTCATAATACTCCAATGCAGCCTCGGCCTCACCATGCATTGCGAAACCCAAGATCATTGAATTCCATGAATTCACATCTCTTAAAGGCATGCATTCAAAGACTTGCTTTGCAATTTCCAATGACCCACATTTGCAATACATATCCACCAAGCAATTGTTGACCAAAACATCACTAGCCACATTCTTGTCACACTTTTTTAAAACATAAGCATGAGCCCACAAACCCAAAGACAAAGCACCCAAACCAGCACAAGCACTAACAACACTCTGCATTGTGTACCCATCAGGGTCATGCACCTCCTGCATCTCACAAAACATTCTCAAGGCAATGTCAAACTTTCCACTCTTTTCATAAGAATCAATCATGATGTTCCACGAAACCTCGTTTCTCTTGTCCATCTTCTGAAATATTTTCTCCGCTAAGTCTAGGCAACCACACGTCGCATAAAAATGAATCAAGCTGTTACAAACGTGGGTGTCTGACTCAAACCCACGTTTCAAAACGTGGCCATGCACCTGTTTTCCTTCGCAGAGAGAAAACGTGTAAGCACAAGCCTTGAGAACAAAAGGGAATGTGTGGTTATCGGGAAGTACTACACTTTTCTCTTCTTCCATCATCATCATTGCTTTGTAAAGCTTCATGGCTTTGTGTTTGTGGTTTGTGCTTCTTGCGTAGGCTCTTATGAGAGTGTTCCACATGAAGGAGTTGGGTTTCGGAAATTGGTGAAACACGCGAGTGGTATAGTTGAGATCAGCCAGAGAGGAGTAATGAAGAAGAATTCTGCTGTAGAGAAAGAGAGCTTGTGTGTGGGTGGTGTCAACGGTGCGAAGCGTGTGAGCATGAATTTGCTTGAGATGAGGCATGGTGATGGTGGTGGGTTCGTTCAGCAAGTGGATAAGGTGTGTGTGGCTCAAGTGTTGGCTTTGGTTGTTGTTGGTAGTGGTTGTGGAGAAAAACAAGGTTTGTGGGCTTGTGGCCATGGTCAAGGGTACCTTGAGGGTTTTCTTTAGAATAATTTATGTGTAGAGTCTCGCAATGATTTCGTATCAAGAGTTTTCTTCTTCTTCTTCACATTCTTCTCATCGGAGTGAGGACAGGTACCATGTTCGGGGTGTCCTAGATGAAGTGGATAAGGTGGAATGCTAAAGTAAGAGAAAAGACATTCACTCGTAGCCATGTCACCTTTTGTTTAAACATAGTATAAATGTAAATTACTCATTGCTATTTACACTTCTTCCATTTATTACTACACACCACACACATTTCCTATTTTTTTCAAACAGAATTCTAAAAAGTATGTTCCAGAGTTTAAGTAATATCCCTGTTATTTTTTATACAACAAACAAATAACTAATTGAATGAATAAATGAGAGAAGTTAACTTAGTTAATTTTAATTAATAATGTCATACATTTAAGTTTTATTCTAAAAATACTCATAAAACTAAATGACACTATATGTAATTCAAAGTATATATTTTTTTCTCTCACCAATTAATGTATCTTATATTATATTGTTATCGAAGATTATACTAGTATATTTTTTAACACTTTTTTTAATACGATTTCTCTCATTAACTATACTTTAGAAATCATAATTTTTTTTTGTATGTTCCACTTCATTTACGAGATTCTTTCGGTGTCGTTGTGTTAACGCGTTTGAAAATTTGGCTATATCTTCACACTCTTGAACCATTAGGATGAATTGTGTTTAACCTACTATATCTCACTACTTTTGGAATCCAACGACTCGAAACTAAGAGTCACATTTTTCAAGGTGCAATCACTTGACATTGTCAAACCATCCATATATTGTAGAAATCGTTGTTTGCATTAGAATTGGTCTCTGAGTACATGTTGGGAGGTATGAGAAGCAAACGTCTTTGAAGTTTTCTGATGTGATCAAAAGTTGACTGATAATTTTTCCAATTAGTTGTATGTGGCGTACAATGAAATATTGCATTTGATGCTACGCAAGTTGATGATACTTTGCAATTTCATGATTTAGATCACAGCCACGATTTAACTATTTTTCAAAACATCCTTAGCAATTCCCTCAACAATTTCAGATTCCAACCTATCCTTAGCAATTTCATATTATCCATACCAAATATACTAAAAAATCTATGTTATAAAAAGACCATATCATTGCCTCTATATAAGGAGTGCGCAATTGTTTATGTCAAGTTTAAAATTGAAACTTGGAACTAAAATAAAAATTTTAAGTTCCATAAATCACATCACTAATTTTAAACTTGGGAACTAAAATTAAAATTTTAGACTCCAGAAATCACATCACTAAGAGTATCTACTATTTTCATTGTTTATGAGTTGCTTAAATTTTAAAAAAGTTACTTGTAGAAACTCTAGTGCTTAAAAAAATGGTAGAAAAGAGCTGATGTGGTATATGGGGTTGTTTATAAGCAACTCCCACTACAGATGCTCTAAGATCTATAAAATGCAAATGATGAAGAAATATCGTATTTTAACCGATATTATATCTCTTCTCTGCACCAATGTCTCTCCAAAAGAGTTTTTATACTAAAGATGACAAAATTATCCATTTACCTGCAATTCATCCATGTAAAAGTTCAACTCAATCCATCGAGTTGTTAAACAAAAGAAACAAATCAAATTGGATGGTTCATATACCTAAATGGTTGGATAACAATCCATTCTCTTTCATTTTCAAATCCCATCTAATTATTAATACTTAATGTATCAACATAATTTTTTCATATTTAATTTTATAATACTTTCTCATCTCTCTCTTTCATCCACAAAATACAATTAATGAACTGACTGGCCTCTATCAGATAACTACTATAGTTACCTAATTGTGCAGTCCATGGATTAAACGATATAAATTTGATAGCTAGTTTCGTGAATTCTTTTCGTTGCTAAAACCTGAGAGTAGTTAGCTAGTAACTCGTAGAAATTCGCGGGTGTCTCCAGTTTCATAAAATATGCAAGCAATTGACATTTAATAAAAACATATCCGAAACCGGTACATAGTAAGCCTTCACGTTCATACATAGAATACATATGCATTGTTCAAACAGTAAAACTATAAATATAATAT